AACACCTTTGCCCGGCACCTCCACTGGTTCTTCATGTCCGCTATCTGTCACTGTTTGCAAAAATATCTAATAGCAATTACCTTTGTTGTAATACTTTCTGCATTGCCATGGTCATCTGGGAGGAGGGTCGCATCTAGTGCTTTCCCCAGGAACCGTTCACGGCCACCAGCTACCGCCCGTCCAGTCTTGGGCGTATCCACCGAGGCATCCTTCAGCTTGCTCACAATCTTCGACACTCGTTCGAAAACACTTAATTTTTTTTTCAAAAATAGTTGCGAGTGAACCAACATCATCACCGCGCTAATAAACAAAAATTAAAATTATCACTCGAGATGCCTACAAATTTTTCACAAAGGTTTTCGTCACTGAGAAAATGATGAACTCAGAGGTTTACAAACCCGAATGTCTTCAGAAGCGAATTCTGCCATTCATCCAGTCACATGATGGTCCGGTGACATCAGTAATCAAATTGGTCCGGTGACATTTTGGCCTGATTTTTTTTTCTTAAAACATAAGGAATAGTATGCTCTTGAGTGAAAACCGTTTTCAAATCCGTTAATTCAATTCTGAAATAGACCCAAATGATATTGTTCCATTACCAGTGGGCTATGCTTTAATGAGGGATTCATCAACGTTAGTGGAGACCTCATGCTAATCATTTACGCCAGGCCCGCATTTAGTTAAATATTATGAATGCAAAATCAGTAATCAAATTGATTTAGTTGAAAGCAGGCTATGTTTCCGTTTGATTCAACAGTGTAAAATGTTGCTCTCATTTTTGCTGTCTTAACTGTTAAGTCAAACAAAATGATATCAACTGTAGTATTTTTGACGTAGGACTACGTCTGTGATTTATATATGGGTGTACACTTTGTAAACACCTAGAATGTAACATGTATCAAAATTATGAAAGATTTTGAACGTTAATAACGCAGCTGCTCCTGGACCAACTTCAATAATTTTATCACCAGTTGATGAGAAATATTTCTACACACGTGGAGGCGAACCAGCCTAAGGCTGAAAGCCTCCTAAAAAAAAAAAAAAAAAAAATATTTCTACACATCTGCTTAACTTAAGACTTTATCATATTTCAAAATGTCACTATTAAAAATTTCACACATGTGCAACTGTTGCTATGATAATTAAAATTATCACCAATTGCCTGCGAAAAGCGATTTCCCTAACACAGATTTCAAAGTTGAATTCCACCGGTCTCACTAAACGGTGTTTATTCAATCACCGCGTGGTGAGTGGTGGTGTTTTCCAGTACACAACGAAAGGCTCCCCGCATGCAGCTAGCTATCAAGGCTGCCTTCAACCGCTGATCGGATTCAGTTCTAATCACCGTGTGTGTGGTGGTATCCGGTAGTCGGAAGCATCAGTCGCAGCAGTGCTTTCGGCGCGTGGCGTTGAAAATTGTTCTCCAGTACACAACGAAAAGCTGCCTGCAAGCAGCGAGCTCCTGTCCACATGAGCATCCATAGAAGGAGGAAGCCGCCGCACCGCTAATGATTGGAATCATTAGCTCTTCGTGAGTCGCTGTGGGCCATCTATGTCAAACGCGTCATATTAAAGAGTATAATCAGAGAGAACCCCACTCAAATTCCTATTGCTACACAAAACATAAGTTCCTGCTTAACAAATAAGATTTATTATACAAGAGTAGCCCTACGTCACCATTGCGTAAAACCCCTTAGTGCTGTCCCTTGAAGTTTTTTTTCTTTGGTTTGTTTTCCGTCGATCTTGTTTTCCGCACTAAGTACCAATGCTACCAACGCCAGGGAGACAGAGCTCCCACACCTGGACCCTACACCTATCGACCCATCAACTCATGAACCGGGAACCAACGGCTTTACTTCCCTTCCGAAGGCGTGATCAAAGATGTTATGCTTAAGAACATCTCTGCGGCGTTGACTGGTATTGAGCTCATACCTGCTGGGGTGAGAGATAATACCGCTTACCACTACACCACCGGCGCAGCTAGGACAAAGTTTTTTAAATGACTTCATATACAATGTTTCCACGGATGTTTATCAATGTTAACAAAACATAAAAAAGTTAATTTTAAAACCTGACTGTATACCCCCCTTAATCAAAAGTTTTCATCACTCATAAAAGATCTCAAAAAATAAAGTATTATTCTAGAAGACATCAAAATCCTAAACTCAAGAGTTTCGTCACAAATGACCATGTCCATCGTTCTTTTATTTCGTCCCGCTGTGCGCCGCTAATACACAACCACAAAGTCTATTGGAACATTCGCATGCATTTACTTTAGAATAGTTTCCCTTCACAGAATTTATTTCAGAATACTTGAAATTTTGTTCAGAATTCTCTTGGAGTTCTCCTCTAATTACAGGTGAAATAGGTGAAATTTCGAATGGAAATTTATTTAAAATTCTTTAGAAATTCTTTTCGAGATGCCTTTGGAGTTTTCCTCGGAATTCCCTTAAAATTATTCTCAGAATTCCTCCGGAATTGTATCCTCAAAATTCGATTCCTTTGATATTTTTAACAATTTCTGGAATTCTACTAACAATCGTCGTGAAATTCTCGGGTGTCGACTCAATGATGAAAAATAAATGCCCTGATGTTCCCTGATTTTCCAGTAATTTTAATGTAAAACTCCAGACTGGGTAGAAGTGATAATGGTAATCAAATAAAAACTCATAAAAGTTTCATACGTGAATCTATAGTTTTAGTAACATACTTTACTGGAAAATTATTACTTTGGGAGCATGCATTAAGTACGTCCCATAAAATTTAGGGAAAATCAACCTCCCTCCCCCCTTTCGTCACGTTTCTCCTATACCTAGTGCCATTGGCGTAGCTGATGGGTGTGCCAAGGGGGCCAGGCACCCTTCAGAATTATCTAGACCCCTCCCCCAGAATTCTTGGTGTTGTTTTTTACTCGCCACTACTTTGTCAAGATTGTCAAGTCCGATGTTACTATTTAACAGCGATTAATATAATTGGACCACAAACAACCATTTTTTAAAGCCCATTAAGTTGACCATTTTTCTTATGTTCTGGACTAGAACAAACAGTTTTGAAAGATATATAATATCGATATTTTATTGATGGCATAATAAGACGTCTTCAAATTGGCCATGAACTCAGGGTATTTTCATCAACTTCTGGAAGCTTCGTAAAACTTCAAGGGCTTCTAAAAAGTTCAGGGAACATCGTAGAAATTAAAGAAACTTAGTAAAAATTCTGAGAGCTTCATAGATCTTCAGAAAAAAAAATCGTAGCAACAAGGAACTTGGAAATGCTCTGAAAAGCGCGTAGAAGTGGAACATTTATTTAAGTTTGAGGAGCTTCGTAGAATGTAAGGAAACATTATTGTATTTCTGGGAAGCTCATTATTTATCGGGAACCCCCATATAATTTCAGGACACTTTTTGAAGCCTCATGGACTTGGAATAGTTGTGAAAATCACGTACAAATTCAAAAAAAAAATTTCGTGATCCTTCGTGGAAAATCAAGAAGAAACGTAGAAGTACAGCAAACTTTGTAGATGTTTTGCGAATTTGTAAGAAACTTTGAAAAAGTTCATAGAATTTAGCAGGAGATCTAAAAATAGTTCAGCATGCTTCTAAGAACTTCAGGGATCCTTACTTCAGTTTAGGGAACTTCGCTGCAGTTTGCCAGCGATCTCAAAAAATCTCAGTGAACTTCTTGGAGGTTAAATTTCAAGGAATTTTCCAGATGTTCAAGAATATTTATAGATGATAGGTGTCTTTCCAGTAGTGCAAAGATGTTCAGAGATCTTCGTAGTATTTGGAGAGATGGAATGAATATGGAATTTGGAATTAATTCAGGGAACTTTGTAGTAGCTGGAGAAAACTTTTAAAACCTAAGGGAGTTTTATAGATGTTCAGGATAGATGTTACAGGATATAGAATTATGACAATTGATCTTATTTCGTTGATTTTTATTTACATTTGTATTGGGAGAATTTATGTTCAAAATCTGTATCAGATACATCTCTTTTTTTAGTTAGACAATCTTGAAAACATATGGGTGTGCGATCCCAAAATAATTTCTTTTAACATTCAGAATGTTAATAATTGTGCATGCGCATATATCATGCACATTTCATAAGTCCTATATGTATGAAATTTAGTCTGTGTGCACTTTACCATGTTTCAGCCAGCATTTTAGAAAATTATAAAATTCAAACTTCTAGAATTTAATTCTGAGATGTAACTGATGATGAAATATTCAAAATCTAAAAAAAAACTACTAACAACAATCATGAAATTACCTAACTCTGAGAATTTTCTTAAGTTTGAGATGCTTAAATTTATGAGTTCCGGACGGTATGTGATTTCATAACAAAAAGCATAAACAAACGATCATTGCTTGTTCAAAATCAGTAAGTTTATAAGGCTCCCACAATAGATTTTCTAATCGTTGTTATGAAATAAATATAATCAAATTTGTTTAACGATTAAAATAATAGCAAGCCTCAATGTCATATTATTGGTCACAGAAAAAAATATATCCAAAAACAAGTGGCCTTGACGCAATTTGATTGAATAGCATCTTCGCGAGTTTTTATTTAACCGTAGCTTAGCAAAATAAAAAAATGCAAAACGCCCCCTCTAGGCCCCCTGTTCTTGCTTGAATGCCGGAATCTGGCCGGCACGACGACAAAGGCGAACTTGTGAACAACGGCGAAATTGTGGTTTCAATCACTGGGCGGACTGGCGCGAACCGAGATAGTTTTCGGACGAGAGTGCAGAAACTGGTCTGTGTTGCTTTGTAGTTCTTAGGTAACTGATTTATTTGTCGTGTTCAGTGTGAGGTGAAGGGTAATCAATTTGGGATGTATATAGATGTATAAGTGTAGAAGCGGTGTTCTGGGTGGTGGGTATTTTTAAGTTAATTTATAATTCATTTTGTTTGTATAATTTGCTCGTAATTTAGTGCTTTCATGTTAGTACTATAAGTTCTGGGTCGCAACATCACCGGGCCCCGTTGAAGCGCAGCATTCAAGAAGATTTGGTGGTGACGGTTTCACAATCGTGTGCCTTCGTTGGATCCTGATCTTCGATGGGAAGGACGCATAGTTCAGATGTTGCACGGCGTCGAATACCTAGCTGCGTGCGCACATCCACTACGCGCACGATGTTGTCACTTCCGGGATAGATGGCCACAACTCTGCCAAGGGGCCATTGCATCGAAGGAATGTTATCTTTCTTCATCAAGACCATGGTCCCGACGTGAAACTCGGTTGGGGATTTCCTCCACTTAGCTGGCCGTTGGTGGAGAAGCCCGATGTATTCCGTGGACCAACGCTTCCAGAGATTTTTGACGGAGCGTTGTGTGGCCTGGAAATGGTTGAGACGATTGGTTGGCACCTGAGAAAGGTCTGCCTCCAGCAAATGAAAGGGGGACTCTCCTAGCAAAAAATGGCCGGGTGTCAGGACAGAGAGATCCTGCGGGTCGTTGGAAAGAGGCGTCAATGGTCTGGAGTTCAGTATACATTCAGCTTGGGAAACAACTGTGCGCATATCGTCGTAGTGGTGTGGAGCTGCTCCGATGATCTTCCAGAAATGCCGCTTGAAGGCCTTTACTGCAGCCTCCCATAGGCCGCCGAAATGCGGCGCACGTGGTGGAATAAACTGGAACTCGATGCCTTTCTCCAAACATTCGGTGGTCCATGCAGTGCCGTTGAGTTGATCAACCAAAGCTTGTCGCATCTCCATAACTTCTCGACGCGCTCCGACGAACGTAGTGCTGTTGTCGCAGTGTATTGTACGAACACGCCCGACACGACTCGCGAAGCGCCTCAACGAATTGACGCACGACTCCGTCGACAACCCGGCGACGATGTCGAGGACTACGGCTTTTACGGCGAAACAGACGTACACTGCGACCCAGACTTTTACCGACGCGCCTCTGCCTGCCAATGGTCGAACGAAAAACGGCCCACAGTAATCCAGCCCCGTATGCTCGAATACTTTCGCTGCAGTGACACGGCTTGATGGTAGTGGAGCCACAAACTGATTGCTTGCTGGGGGATGAAAACGAAAACAAGTCACGCAATGGTGGACTGTCCTTCGAGCTAGATCTCTTCCGCGTATTGACCAGAAGCGCTGACGGATTGTTGCCAGGAGCTGTGTGGGTCCTGCATGCAGTGTTTGATGGTGAACGGAGTTGGTGATCAATCTTGAAAGGTGGTGGTCGGCCGGTAGTATGATCGGGAGGCGGCTGTCGAAGGATCCAGGTGAGTTTGCTAGCCGTCCATTCAATCGGAGAAGACCGGTGTCATCGATCCACACATCAAGGTCTTTTAATGGTGATTTGAAGTCAGCCTTTCGCAGGGCCATCCGTTCTTGATCATTGTGTGACTTCAAAGTACTGTCGTATTCGACCGGAGTGATTGGTCCCACTGTACGAGCCATCCTCGGCAATCGGCAGTTTTTTGCGAAACGTTGACAGAATGAAGCAACTTTGATAAGATGCGACAGTTGTGAGTAATCGTGGATTAGTGAATCGTCAAATGTGACACTTAGGAGTACAACCGTTTGCCGCTGCTCAGGTGTCTGCTGCTGAATGTCGGTCGACGTCAATGGAATTATCGGAGTTGGCCACGATTCCACTTCATTCAGCAAGTAGGACGGCCCATGCCACCACAGTGCATCGTTCTTGGTATCATCTGGTTGTACCCCGCGAGATATACGATCGGCGGGATTTTCTAGGGTTGGAACGTGCCGCCACTGGGATCCTTGTGTGAGTTTCTGGACCACCGATACTCGGTTGTACACGAATATCTTCCAGGACGACGGTGGTGAATCAATCCAGTGCAAAACGATCGATGAATCTGACCAGAACGTGACCGTAGAGTCAAACTTGGTTGTTCTACGAATGGTATCAGCCAACTGGCTTCCCAGTACAACTGCACAGAGTTCCAACCGAGGGATGGAATAACCACATACTGGAGCAACACGTGATTTTGCTATGAGCAAATGGCTTGTTCGTTTAGTGGAAGGTCCTGTTGATACCGTGTAGATGCACGCCCCATACCCTTTGGAAGAAGCGTCGACAAAACAGTGCAACTCGTAGCTCTTTGCACTCTCTTCGAACACCCACCGAGGGACTCGAAGATTCCGAACGATACCAATTGCTGCTCGGAAGGACAGCCACCATGATTGCAGAATGTCCGGCAGCTTTTCGTCCCAGCTAAGTTTCTCCTGCCATAATCGCTGCACAAACATCTTCGCACTGGCCACCACTGGACCGACCAGACCCAAGGGGTCAAATAACTGTGACATCTCCGATAGTACGAGGCGCTTCGTAACGTGTGGCAGGGCTGGAAAATCAGGGACCTTGAATACAAATACGTCCTCCTTTGGAAACCATAGTAGGCCCAGTGCCTTGATCGATGCAGATCGATCGAGTTCTAGCGGCAACTGATGCTCCTTTAGTTCCTCTGGAAAATGTTCCAGAATACTGGGGTGATTCGCGCTCCACTTCCGCAGATTGAAACCACCTCGCTTTAGTAATTCGGTCAGCTGTATGCTGGTTTTAAGCTCTCGGATCCAGTTAAAACATCGTCCACATAAAAATCTTTCTTGACAATGGGGGCAGCCAGTGGAAAGTCATGCCCTTCATCGTCTGCCAGCTGGTTTAGGACTCTGGTTGCTAGATACGGAGCACAAGATGTGCCGTAGGTGACAGTGTTCAAGGAATAGGTTTTCAGTGGCTCTGATTCGTTTCGGCGCCACGCAACTTGCTGTAGTTGGCGATCGTCTGGATGAACCAAAGCCTGTCGAAACATTTTCTCCACGTCTGCTTTCATGACGAATCGGTGGAAACGAGAGTTGACAACGATGCACAACATAGAAGGCTGAACTGTTGGTCCTGTGAGAAGAAGATCGTTCAAGGAGAGCTGGTTGCTGCTTTTAGCCGAGCCGTCGAACACAACTCTTATTTTGGTTGTTGACGAGTCGGGACGATGGACTGCGTGATGGGGCAGGAAATACTGGGGTAACGCGACGCGAGTCTTCACTTCCTCCATGTGGCCTAACGTAGACGCACTACATAACGACCGTCGGCATTGCGACTGTGTGTAGATGCGAAGTGGGCTTCACACTGTTGTTCTTCGGCAGTCAGGCATTTTCCGACATCAAAGTTTTCCACTTCCCAGAACCTTTTCACCTGTGCGTCCAGGTTGTCGAAAGCGGAGACCAAGCAGGTAAGTGGAGTGGTCATCGAAGCGGGAACCTTTCCCGAGAATACGTATCCGAAGCTTGTCTTCTGGAGTGGTGGTAGCTGGTCATCGAACGGAATCTGCTCGGATTGCAGAATGAACGGGATAAGCTCGGCACCGATAATTAAATCGATACCATGACTTTGATAGAAGTGTGGGTCTGCTAACGGTAGATGCTTGGGAATTTTCCACGTGTTAATATCCACCGTCTTCGTTGGAAGGTTCACCGTTAGTTTCGGCAACACCAGGCAATGCAATGGGAATTGTTGTGACCCAAATCGGGATGAGATGCTCACCGAGACTACGTAACGTACGTTGACAATTGCTTGCCCAATGCCGCTTACAGGCATGTTGATCTTCACTCGGTTGAGCGATAAACGTTGGCACAACGACTCGGAAACGAAACTTGACTGCGAGCCGCTGTCTAGGAGTGCATGAGCGATTTGACTGTGCCCGAGGTTATCGTGGATATTCACTAGTGCGGTGTATAAAATCACTGTATTTTCACCAACATTTGCTGGTGCGACGGTTTGATTTTCTAGCTACGCCAACGCCTAGTGCATTGTTTGTCATTGTCGTTCTTAATGGATGCTCCGTTTATGGTTTAATTACAAAGTAAATTATTAAACTCGCCATCCATTAATACACTGAAACAAATCGACATGTACCGTTTATTGGATCCATCTTATAACATAGCAATGTCAGCATATTTATTCATTCTATGTGATGATTGATAGATTCCATTGGATTATCACTTACAAACTATGACTGCGATATGGAATGATTTCGATCGTAATTTCACATACTTAGTACTTGATAATACTTTGCTCCGAACGTGGTTAGCGAAGGTAAGAAGTATATGAATATTGTCTGATATATTTCATGGTGAAAAACTGTTGATATGTCATGGGTGGGAACAGACATCTAGAAACTAATGGAAAATCATATAAGTTTGCACTACACAGCAAAAAAAATGTAATATCGATCAATGTAATTCAAGCTGATGAATGAAATAATGATGTAATAGCAAAAAGCAGATACAATATTACATCAATGGATGTAATTTTGTTCGCAAAATTTATGTACATCGTACAACGTTATATTGCACATCCGATGGATTGACCTGGTTGCAGCAGTTTGGATGTAATATTCAACAATTTTTTTTTTCTGTGTATGAGAAAATTCAGTAAAATATACCTGTTTTCATGATGAATATTGCTCACTAAAATATATATCTTATAAGATAATCATGTATATTTTATTGGAGTTGCTTTTACTGATTTTTGACGTTTGTTGATATGTCGCGTGTAAATAGACATGTAGAAACTATTGGACTGTCCTTTAACTTTGCAGTATAGGAAAACATGTATATCTCATTGTAATAGCTTGCTTTGATTTTTGACGTTTAAAGATTGTAAACAGATCTATCCCAATCATTAAATAGTCATATAGAAATGCCTTTTAAGAAATCCAACAGCAAGCATTTGTTTTTGCATGTTTTTCTGGGATGAATATCGCTCCCAATAAAATACATCTTACATGATTGTTCTTTATAAATTATTGAAACAATTTTCAACGATGTTAACGTACACTCATTCATATGATAATTGGTTCCAGAAAAGAATGCATTGAGATTTAAAAAAAATGATTCTACTGTAATATTTACTTTGCTATGATTCTAATTGTAAGCCGCCTACACGGCTAATTCAGATTCCAGCCCTAAGTAGTACTCGAACTTCATGAGCCAGTTCTATCAAATCATATAATTTAGTCGTTGATTTATTGCACACAGGTGCATTAAGAAAGATTTGAACAAACCACACCACCGGAACGGAACATAAATTTGTCAGTGCTATTTGTCTTCACTCTAGCAAAACGAGCATAAAGTTGCACTACATTCCATGTCGGGAGAGCTGTTCTTACTTCATGCTATTTGAACGAGCTCAATCTTGAAGTCAGCCGTGGCCCAGTGGAATCGAGCACAGACACCGAAAGCATCACACCTCAACAGATCTTGATCGAATCCCAAATCAGCTACAATAAAAAAAAGGCACAACTGTGAAAGCTCCCACTGCCTGATGTTTATTTTTCGAATTTATTTTTAGAAATCGATTAAATATATGTGTCAAAAGAAGAAGTAAATTTCATGTTATTTTCACATAAACTTTACTTCGATTGATTTATGACACATATATTATATTGTGGTGAAAAGTATAGCTTATGCTTATGGTTTTCAAATCCATTTCAGTTAATTATTATAATTTAATCGATTTTCATTTATCATATGACGATCATATAAAAGTTACCAAATTATCAGCATTGTAAATGTATCAGATATTCATATAGAATTTACCTGACACATTTTCAATCATATCATTTTCAATGGATTATCTTATAACCCCCATTTTTTTTAGACTTCCACATAACAGGAATATGTCAAATTCGTTCAGTGTAGGCACCATCGGTCTTCACTGCACAGCCGTCTGTCCCTCACAGTGCAGTGCCGAAAAGTGGAAAACCATTTGATAATCATTTTAAGTTATTTAATTGCTTTAAAAAATAAAACTTGATTTTTATTATTTTATCTTTGTAAATCAATAATAGAAGCCAAAATCAGTCGATGATACAGCAATAATACATTTGAATAATAAAGTCCTATCATCATTCACATACTTACAGTTTATACATTTCAATGTATAATCCATGTTTACACTAAGTTCATATTCTATCTCTTTATACCGGGCAACCAGGCAAATAACGATTTGGTGAGACTTTTAAACTAGTTAGTCAGCGTTGAGTACCTCCGTTTTCATTTGAGTAAAAGTGACTCCCTCTCCGAGTAAGTCTCGTCGGTCGTGTTCCTTAGATTTTTGTTTTAGTGCAGCTTCTTTAATCGTGTGCTCAGATTGCAAGCTTTATGCCGAAAAGCTTTATGGCACCATTTGCGTTGTATAGGCGATGTACAATGCTTATGAATTTCACAAGCTTGCATGGTCGCTGAGACTTACTCAGTGAGAGAGTCATTTTTACTCAGTTGCATGGGATTTATTTTCAAAAGTGCTGATCACTCAGTTTTGAGCGTTTTAAGAAATGTCTCATATAACAGAGTAAACATGCACACATAGATTTTGTTGCCAAGAGGGGCATCACCGAGCAGCCGGGCATACTATTTTTCTGGATCTCAGTGAAAAACTTGCCGAGCTTTAACTAACAAACGGGAATTTTGCCGAGATCTCAGCTAACAAACATAAATTTTGCTGAATCTCGCCAAGTTTTTCACTGAGATCCAGCAAAACAAAATGCCGAGACGCTCGGTGGTTCCCATCACGGCCAAAAAAATCTAAGTGTGTGAGTCTCTCTCACTGAGTTGGTATATTAACATTTGACGTTGCAATATCGTTTCATGTTCCAGACTACACGCTAAGATCCACATATTTACCTCTACCATATCGGTAAAAATGGCCTTACATCTTACTTAAATTATCGTTAATCATGGATTACCTAAAATTAACGTTACAATTACAAAAAAAAAACACCCCTCACCATCCCTCTCCAAAGGGGGAGTTTGGTAAAGAGAGATGAAAAAACCGATTTGTACCTTCCTTCAAAGTTGTCCTAGCTCGCTATTCTAATATCTATATGCAATCTTCACACTGGCGTACTCTAACGGAACTATCATCTCTACACTTTCATCTACTCCATCTATCGTATAAAAATTACCACTACAGTCTGTTATTTGAAATTAGCATCTTCAACTATGATTGTTGTTCATTTTAATCGTAATTATAGTTAATAAAGTATTGCTATTATTCGGTGAACGGAACTATCAACTATTATAAAATTTGATGGGTGTGCGGGTTGAATATTCGGTGCAGCTCTAGAACAAACAGTTTTGATGGACTTTTCTTTCCATAAAATTAGACGAACGAAGTACATTTACCCTTTATATATATTATATATGTATATGTGTTTAAAAGATACATGGTAAATGGCCTTTATGTAATTAAATTACATTCATTGTGACGATGGACTGGTGATCGACGACATAGATCAGTGCTATGCACAAGATCATACAATAATTTGTCGTAGCAATTTTCTCGTTGTTAACCACATACACACAGCACGGGTTTTTTTTTTAATTGGCGGTTTATTTCCATAATTGGACTTGTTGGAAGGTATGATAAATTAAAGCCTGTGTAAACCTACCATTTTTACCATACCTAGGCATTTGATTGTCGTACGGATTCGGCCTTACTTGTAAAAGGGACACAGAAAAGCTAGATAAAACTTAGTGTTTTATGCGTGTTTTTTTTTGTCATATCCAGGTACCAGATGCCCAAACATGACGGCCTTCAGTTCTATGGAAGTCAGAAACAATCAAAACGGAACTATTATAGCCATTTACAGCCATTCCATAGCAAAACGATATAGGGGAAATGACGGCTTCGGCATGACAGACTATTTTCGGCAACCCAAATTGAAACACTATTTTCACTGGATTTTCTTACGAAAACACTTCGCTGAATGCATGCAAACGATTCTTTATGCTTTCAGCTTCAATTTGACTATATTTTTACCACTGAGAAAAAGCAATCTAGCAGGATTTTCTTGAAATGAAACACACGCACTACAAATTGTAGCTGATTTCGAGTTGCCGATAATAGAACAGCAGATTTACATGCAGTTCAAATGGAACGGTTGCCGAAGAAAAACTGGTTGCCGACAATACTCGCTCTCACTAGAGAAGATTGGAGCTTTGTAAAAGCGTTTCAAAACAGTTTTTGACAATTCTTTTGACTGAAATTGTTAAAGCAGCTGGCAGCAAAAGATTGTAAACAAACCAATACTGCATATGTGTGCGTTCCATAGAGAAAAAGGCTATAGAAAGAAGGTCGCTGCTTAGGTTGCCGAGAATACGTAAATTCCCCTAGTTGTTCTCAGAATTTCATAAAAATTTGTTGATTTGTTGCTTATCGCAAAATATTAGACCCGTATTTTTTTTTATTTTGTCGTTAGGGTGACCATTTCCAGGGTGGTCCGAAAACCTTTTTTTTAAATTAATAACTTTTGATTTCAAAGATCACAATAGCAAATGTAAGGTAATTAAAAATGCTTTTTAAAGAAAATATAATGATATTCGGAAACTGAGATTTAGTATTGAAAAACATTGATTGTGTTTGTTTTTTTTTATGGTTTTCATGCTTTGTAGATAGAGACCGCAATATGTTTTTATGTTTTTCCTTGAAAATTTAGGCTTTTTTACGCATTAAATCATACAATCAGCAATGCGTTTTTTATTTTTTCGTTTTTAAGTAATATTTTTAAAAAGAGTCTTTTTTGAAAAAAAAAT